CTGCAGGAGGTCAGTGAGGTAGGGAGGGGTGAGACTGTGGACGGTCCTGATAGTGAAGAAGAATGATGAAGATGAGTTAACCAGCAGCCAGTGATGAGGTCAGAGGAGGAGGTCAGAGGAGGAGGTCAAAGGAGGAGGTTAGATGAGGAGGTCAAAGGAGGAGGTCGGAGGAGGAGGTCAAAGGAGGAGGTTAGATGAGGTCAGAAGAGGAGGAGGTTAGAGGAGGAGGTTAGAGGAGGAGGTCAGAGGAGGAGGAGGTCAGAGGAGGAGGTCAGATGAGGAGGTCAAAGGAGGAGGTTAGATGAGGAGGTCAGAAGAGGAGGAGGTCAGAGGAGGAGGAGGTCAGAGGAGGAGGTCAGTGTCAGCAGTCTAACGGTGGAACTGGACACCAGATTTACAGAAGTTGTGACCTAAAACGAAGGAACAAAGAGGAGGGGCCCGAGCACAGAACCTTGGGGCACACCTGTGGAGACGAGGGAASAACAGAAGGACTGAAGCTAAGTGAACTGATCAGAACTGAACCCGTCCAGTGGAGGACCTGAGCTGCAGCAGGTCAAAGAGGATGGGGATGTCGACAGGTGTGATGAAGGTGACTGCAGACGAGTCCGGACAAATCAAATCAAACACTTTGATTAAATCGATTGATTGTTGCTGAAAACAAAGGTTCTCACCGTGATGCCACACCACTCGCACCTCATCCCTGCCAGGACCTCCGAGGAGCCACACGAGCGCCGACACACCTCACACCTGGCCGCCGACGCCAGGTTCCCCTCCCTCCAGTGGTGATGGAACGTGTCCAGCTGCAGAAGATGTAAAACTGATGGTTAATCCTGTCCAGCAGGGTGGAGACAAACAGTCCAACACAGAGGTTTAGGTTGTAGGCTTCAGTTAACATCGGTCCTTCAAACTCTTTTAAATGGACCTCCAGGARKCCAGATCCTGATCCTGATCCTGATGAACATCTATGGAAAGATTTCAAAACTGGAGACGCCATCTTCAAACCTCAGGTGGTTCAGTCTGCTCAGGCAGAACGAACCAAAATGYTCTGTTAGAAAACATTACAGGACCCACGGTCTCTGTCCACCTTCATCTGGACCTCCTGAGGTCTTTAGTCACATCAGCTGGTTCTAACAGGAAGCAGAAACCCAGAGCTCCTCTCAGACACAGAGTGAAGCTCTGAAACTGCAACACTGGAAATTATCTCATCGTTATCTCAGGCTGAACGGGTCGATCAGCGCCGGCTGCTTCCTGTCGGCTTTCTGAGCCACGCTTCGACCGGCTGTAGAGTTTCAGCTGCTGCTTCCTGTCAGTCAGGCTGCAGCAGAGCACCCAGCTGCAGGCCTCTGATGGAGGACTGACCAGCAGCGTCTTTATTTAGACCTTCCTGAGAGAGTCTGATGGAAGACCTGATCTTTCAGACTGAGCTGAGTCATTCTGACATGAGTCAATCTGACATGAGTCAATCTGACATGAGTCAATC